ATCTGTCCATCATAAGACAAAACTCATACAATATTCCAACAGTCTGAACAGTGGAATTAATTTATCTTCATAGATTTCTTGAGGGAGATTGTTGATAAATATTTCTGTCCCAAATAGAGGAACTTCAACAACCCAGTCTGCAAGAGGGCCACCATATTTCCTCTGACCGGTATAAGATTATTATTACATCTTTCCATCCACTTCAAAAAGGAAGATTTATTGTCTGTATGCAGAGAAATAATCCAAGCCTCTCAGTATTCATCATGTTGTTGTCCATCATTAGAGAATGATCGTCTCTCTCCATGGGCCTTAATCAGTAGGTAGAAGGCTAGCCCCTAGTCCCCTCTAGAAGCCCCTGTCCCGGTTGGGTCTTTAACAGGTCATATATGTAACAAGTTTCTGGCAAGCATTCAACACACCTGTAGGTCAATTTATGTACAAAAATGATCCCATGATTACCTTGTAAATACCAAAATAGTTTTTTTCTGACAGGATGGAGCACAGTTAAATCCTCTTAAGGCTTTGTGTGTGGAAGCTGAGCCCAAAAAAAAGGCAAAAAGTGGGCAACGGACTTGTCACCAATTTTGCCTATATGCTCCCGGCAGCTGACCTTGTCCTCATTACTGACTTGCTATGCCTTGTTCTGCACTGGGACTATGTGTGAGATGGTTATCTTGGTAAAGGAGAAGGCCGTTGCTTCCTTATGTCAGAGCTGCCCCCCCCCCCCTGAATACTGGTTGGGTGATATCCAAGAAAGAGCATGGGAGGTGATGGAATTCCACAGAATGAATGAAGCAGAAGCAGGAAAATGCTTGCAAATGCAGGTGCTTATGTACAGCTTCCTCTCTGGCAAGCCCACAGGAGAACAGTAGCAACACAATAGTGACAATGCCAAATCTCTATATCTGAAACTAGCAGTCAGAGACAGCAGCACCTTGATGACCTCACACTGCAGATAGAATTGCTACTAGGCTAAAGAACAATAGTAGACACAGTCACGTTTCTATTTTTCAGAAGAAATTTAAGGCAGAATGTACAATTTCAGGGTAATGCTAAGACAAAACTACCATTTCCACTATAATAAATAAAATGTACCTTTTTAATAGCTTCACTTTTTGTGTTCAGGCACACTTTACAACATGTTTCTTAGTTAACAATCTAATGAGAATGGACGCTCTGACACTGTCAGTTAAAAGACAAGGTGCCAGTTTCCTTAAGACCTGGTTCTGCTGGACCCAATTTCTGTCCTCTCATAAATATAAGGAACTCTTGAAGACCATTCCCACTAATGCTGTGTATACCAATGTGGTCCTTAGCCAGTGTCCCTGTCCTGAGGGGAAAGAGAGTTGAGGAGGAACGTATTACCCTCACCTTCATAACTCCCCCGTCCCCCTTTTTTTTCCTTCTTTCTTTTTCCTCCAATGCCTCTTTGTGTTTTCTGTTTCCATGAAGAATCAAAACTTGTATCTTATTGTTTCCTGGCTGAGGAAGGGGAAGGTACAGTTTTTTATATGCCTAGCTTTTACCAAGTTTGATACCAGATGTTTATGTTCTGTTTGCTAATATGTGGGACACAATGTTTATTTGTCTATGGATTCTCTTCCAGCTGTTTGTACCTTGTCAATACCTGCAAACTTTTGGTAATGATGTGTAGCTAATGTATATCTGTGGGTGTATTTGTCTTTCGGTCGAAACATAGAATTAAAAAAAAAAAGGAAAGGTTTCTACATGTGTCACCTCAATCACAAATCTAAAAATTAAGGATAACATTTTACTTCTTATTTTAGGATAGAGAGCAGAGCCAGTGCCATCTTAATAGCATCATGGGCCCCTGGGCAAAGCAATGCACTAGGGCCCCTACCAGCCTGCATCATGTGTCCCCCTCACAGTGCCCATATAAATCAGGTTCCCTTATCTCTGTGCCCATAAACTGTACATCAGGTGTCCCCATACATCAGGTTACCTGTCACTGTGTCCCCACACACATCAGGTTCTCACATCACAGGATCACCATTCATCAGGTGTCCCCCATAAATCAGGTGTCCCCATCACAGTATTCCCATACATCAGAAGTCCTCATCACATTGTGCCCATACATCAAATGTCCTCATCACAGTATTGCCATCAGTGTCCCCATACATCAGATGTCCCCATATATCATGTGTGCTCATCACAATGTCCCCATACATCACGTGTCCTCATTATAATGTCCTCATACATCAGGTGTTCCCATCACAGTGTCCCCATACATTAGGTGTCGTCTGTGTGCAATCCCTAACACAGTGTCCACTGTTGTGCCCACCTTCCCACTTGTACTCAAAAATCACATGCTGTTCCCCACTGCAATGAAGTCAGCTGCTTCTTCCTCTCCCAGGCTGAGACTAAGGTGACTTCCCAGTGCCGGCTCTCTTCTGCCCCACTGCAGAAGGGAGGAGAAAGTTGAACTTTCTCCCCATCATCAGCCAGCCACTTCTCCTTTTGACAGGAGTGACATTGCAGGTACTCTTGTCAAAGAGGAGTGGCATGACTGGCCTAATCCAGTGCATCCCCAAACACAGCACTACCCCTCCACCTTTTCCTGGCCCTGATCATGGGCCCCCTATTCACCTGGGGTCCCTGGTTATTGCCCAGGTGTGTCCATTCATTAAGATGGCCCTGGGAAGAGCCATACAAATCATTTCTCCTTGCCTCTTTTTGCTCTTTCCCCCAAATACACTGTTTTAATGAAAACTAGCAAGCCTGAAACGGCTGTATGCATTTTGAAATAGGCTGCTCTGTTCAATTAGTCTGTATTTGTGCTGTAAGCAGGGGCGGACTGACCATTTGAAAACTCGGGCACTGCCCGAGGGCCCGGAGTCAGTAGGGGGCCCCATGAGATGCCCCTGGTACCTTTTTCATAGGCTTTTTTGAGTTTGGGCAAGGACACAGGGGCCCATGATCCCCTATTGCCCGGGGGTCCCATGAGTTGTCAGTCCGCCCCTGGCTGTAAGTCAGGGGTTCTAGGATGTACAGTTGACCTAATGGCAGAAAGGAATTATTTGCTTGGTTTCACCCATGTATGTGCAGTTTGATGCACTGTCTCTGACATTGATGTAAAATCTTCCCTGATGTATAATAGTACATACAGTCAGGATGGATGCTGTGGTTTCTGGCACCAAGCCATCAGTAGCAGACCCTTTAAGTCCTGTAAGTTGTGAGGTGAGACCTCCATGGATCGGACTTGTTTTTCCAGCACATCCCACAAATGCTTGATTGGATTAAGATCTGGATAATTTGGAGGCCTAATCAACACCTCAAACACGTATTCCTCAAACCATCCTTGAACCCTTTTTGCAGTGTGGCAGGGTGCATTATACTGCTGAAAGAGGCCACTGCCTTCAGGGAATACCATTTCCATAAAGGGGTGTACTTGATTAGCAACAATGTTTAGGTGGGTGTCAGGTAGCATTCACATGAATGTCAGAACCTAAGGTTTCTCAGCAGAATATTGCCCAAAACATCTAACTGCCTCTGCCAACTCTTCTTCTTCCCACACTTCATCATGGTGCCATTTCTTCCCCAGGTAAGCCGCATACACACACCACACATGATGTAAAAAAAAAATGTGATTCATCAGACCAGGCCACTTTCGTCCATTGCTCCGTGGTCCATTGAAGGCACTTTTGACTATGGACACAGGTCAGCATGGACACCCTGACCGAATTGCAGCTATGCAACCCCATACACAGTAAACTGTGATGTCCATTTTTTATGCTTTCAACCCATCTCACAAACACAACTTCAGCAGCAACATGTTTACCTGCTGCCTAATATATCCCACCTACTTTCAGAGGCCAGTGTAACATGATACTGTAATCATTGTTATTCACATAATATGTCAGTGGTTGTAAAGTTATTGCTGAGCAATGTAGTTTTTTCTAAAAAGATATTTAATTTATTGTTTATAAAGCTTTTTATGGAACTGGTCCTGGGGGTGTGGATACCAGTATATCTCAAATTTACACATTTTTCTCCACTTCTAATTTAGTATTTTTCTGGTTGTTTCTCTTTTAAAATGTATCCATGTTTGTAATTTATTACCTTGGAGAGTTTTTATCTTTTACACAATTTTAGTGTATTTCAGCCATTCTCGACTTGGTTTCCTACAGAGGTTGCTAAGGGTTCCTTCACTTTTGCTTGTTGACCTCCCATCTATTGTTGCCTGCATAGTACCAGGGCCAATGCCACAGTTTGACATCAGTGATCTTTTTTTAGCTATCTGTGTGACTGGCATTCTGACCACCACTGTAAGGGTTTTTATTATTATTAGATTTATATAGCGCCAACGGTTTGCTCAGCGCTTTACATTATAGTGGGAGACAATACAGTAACAATACAGTTCAATACAAGAGGGAATTGAGGGCCCTGCTCCTTGGAGCTTACAATCTAGTAAGGGTTATATTCTTCCTACTGGCTACCAATGTGTAAAGCATTTTTGCCATTGCCCCCCAGATTAATTGATTTCTTTAAGAGTTCCCTGAGACCTGGGGGTTGTTTTAGGGGTTCCTCTGGGGTGAGAAGGTTGAGAAAGGCTGGTTTGCTTAAAAACATTTGCACAACTATCATGGGACCTTAAAAATCAATAGTATCATCTTTTAATTTGATAGGTCCTGTGTTTTTGGAAAATGTATGGTAAAAAAGTAAACTTTTAATAAAAGGTTCACTATATTATGAGAGTGAGCAATAGCAACATTGGTTGAGATGCAAAGCTTGAGGCAGTGCCTGACAGTAAAGGGGTTAATACGAGAAATCAAACGGTGTTAGTAATAACATGTTACAGAACGTTGTTTAACTGAAAATATACAGAATATCTTTAATATTTGTTCCAGAAACAAAGTAACAACCATCCTTCATCATAAAAAAGCTACATCTATTGCTAGGTGAATGTTTTCTACCTGTTGTGAATGTAATGTTACAAGTAGAGGGAGTCATGTTTTTAAAGTGCTCTTTTCTGTTTAAAGGTCTTGAATCTTGTCCAGTCCTATGTAACCCTGCGGGTGCCCCTGTACGTGTCCTATGTATTTCACTCTCCGGTGGGAGTCGGTGGCTGGCAGCATTTCGATCTGCACTCCGAGCTGAGGCTCACATTTGTGTACGACACTGCCATCTTGTGGAAGGATGGGATTGGTAGCCCGCCCGAAGCAGAATTACAAGGTAACCTCTTCCTATCTTCTTTAGTACCATGAAATGCTTAAATGTGCCATGTAGTTGAACCAGATGTGTTTTGTAGATAAATTGTTTATCTTTTTTAAAATTTTCTGTCTGCATTGACTAGAGCCTTTTCCAATTTCTACTTTTTTCTATTGCACTCTAATCCTTTCTGCTTTATCTCAAATCCCAAATCCAGACAAACCTTTAGAGCTGATTCACACATGTGCGGTGATTGAAGCTCAGGTTTCACAGCTAACTGACACAGTAGTTGTTTAGCGGTTCAGGTCAGGTTTACATCAGGTTCAGGTCAGGATTACCTCAGGATCTTATCTTGTTCACACATATGCAGGTTAGAAACGGTTCCCATAGAAGTCAATAGCCTGTAATCTGTACCTGAACCAGACCGCACTGCTCAGAAATCGGACAGGACTCTTTTTTTAGCTGATTCAAACTTGTTCGGTGTGGGTTGAAGCTCAGGTTTCACAGCTAACTGACACAGTAGTTGTTCAACGGTTCAGCTCAGGTTTACATCAGGTTCAGGACAGGATTGGCTCAGGATCTTATCTTGTTCACACATATGTGTGTTTAGAAACGGTTCCCATACAAGTCCATAGCCTGTAATCTGTGCCTGAACCGGACCGCACTCCTCAGAAATCAGACAGGACTCTTTTAATAGCGCACTGAATCCGCACCACCAGTGTACCAGACATATGTAAACAGACACCATAGGAAGAAATGTTATTTCACATGTCATGTGGATTGGATGTGGTTCAAACCGCATCTAATCCGCATATATGTGAACTAGCACTATTCTTTATTTTATGTTGAGTCTGGAAAATGTAGAAGATCTGTCAGTATTTTATTGCTGTCTGTGTCCTGTTTGGAAGATTTCTAGTTTCCTTGTAAAGGTGTCAGAAGGAACAAGAAAAGAGAGGAATCTCTGCATTTCTTGACTATTTACCATGTGTTCTGCAGAACAGGAAGTGATGGAAATGCCACACAAGGGGACACACAAAGAAATAAGGCAAAAAAAATGGAGCTAATAGCATTTGTTGCTATAACTAGTAAAAAAATATGTGCACACGGACAGGATAACTCAAAAAAAAAAAAAAAGCAAAGATTCTCCACCACACTCCGCAGCCAGTCAACATAAGCCCCCGGTCACTTCAAAGCCGATTTTGAAATTGTGCGATTTACAGTGAAGTTGCACGATTTCAAAATCAGGTGAGATGCCAATTTCAGTTGCGATTTTCAAGACATCTGACACAGATGTCTATGCAAATCACAACAAAAGTAGTGCATGTACTACTTTAGAAATTGGTGCGGCTCCGACCAAGTCGAAACTGCACCGATATGACCATTCTAATAGCGGACAACAGGGTGCGACTTGGCATACGATTTGCAAGTCGCTTAGCATGCAAGTCGCATGTCAAATCACACCCAGTGTGACTTGGGTGTAAAAGTCCTGCTTAGACCCCTTGCATATAGCTGTGCAGCTGCAATCTGTCCCTCTCTTGAGTTTTAGTGCACCCTGAAGGGACAGGTGCAGTCCCAAGCCCCGCTGATAGGAGCCTGTTAAAGTCTATAGTAGGCTGCAGCTGGACGAGGCTGGAGGCTGTAGTGAGTAGTACCAACGTTTAGGCTCCTGTGTTTTCAGTGACAAGGTTCATGAATGCAGAAGAGCTGCATTCTGGAACCTCGGAACTAAGGCGGAACTAATGTACCACTTATTCTTTGCATTCTGAATGAAGTCAGGTGCCTGGGACAATGTAAAGGATTTACATCATCAGTGGTTGTCCAGTGTTTGAGGATGAAAATCATGGAGCTGTTTCTGCTAGGGGCGTACTTGCGCATTATGGCGAGAGCCCATTCCCACTTAGCAGAATCCGTTTGTTGTGTGCATTTACAAACACATATGAGCCCACACTACAGTGTCAAGGCACCTCAGCAAAGCATGGTCCCAAAAATATATATTTACAGTATATACATCCGAGGAGAGAGCCACATGCAGGACTTTAAAAGGAGCCCCGATATACAACATGAACTTTTTTACTGAGCGTCCAACATTTTGGTAGGACACAGCCTATCTCTTTCAAGGCCATGATCAAAGTAGGCTGTGCTCCACCGAAACGAAAATACACGATTACCTTCATTTATAGATAAAATGACACCTGAAAATCAGGAGAAAATTGATTGAGCTCTTCTGGATCAGCATTGTCAATAGCTGAAAATGCATATTGTCAGGAAGCTTTTAAATTATTATGACCATCATACAGCTTGCCAAGAAGAAATTCCTTGACCAAACCTCTTTTCAATTTGTAAAAGTACTCCACATTGAGTTTTTTTTTTTTCCAGAAATTTCCATTTTTTCCAGAAAAAAACATGGAAAAGAGCATTTATCCCTTGGCTTCAAATTTTTGGAAAGTTTTACATCTCTAGTCGTGGATGCATAATGGCTCCTTAGAGACTTTAACTTGCAAGAACAGGATCCTGTACCTGGTGCATGTTAGAGCTGATGGATACCATGAGGGGAGAAGGACAAAGGCAGTATACTCTTATACCAACCAGCAATCACACCTAGGGCCTACAATGGTGGTAGTTCTGCCTTCTGTAACCAGCAAAAAATTTGTCTTAAGACCTCATTTTACAGCCAGTTCCATAATTTTCCTGTCAATTTTAGCAGGACTAATTAGAACCACTATATGTAAATAAATCTGTTTTTAACTTGTTTTATGTTAATAAACCCATGCATAGTGATTGTAACAAAGAGACATTTATCTTTTGAGACCTATTAGGACTTATGAAGCTTCTATTTCAATTTTCTGGTAAAGGTTTTTGTGGCATTGATATATTGCTTGTCATTTCTCAGATGGTTTTTTAATATTGTTTATGACCGGAAATGTCATTCCACAGAGAAATGTAGAGAGACTGAAGTGAGAGCTTCATGTTGTTTGAGTTTTTAATTGGCAGATTTGATTCATGCAGACCGTTTATGTTCTTGGTTTAAAGATTGTTGATGTGAACATTTGTAAATCAATTAATCTATTAGAATAGCAACATTGCCATCTGTCGGTGAACCAGTATTTTAACCAACTGCTTCCTATAGTTCAGCCTTTCTCAACCTTTTCAACACGGGCAGGAGGAACCCTTGAAAAAACGTATCGGTCTCAGTTAGCCCCTGCTAAAAGTTACTATATCTACAACTCATGATATATTATTAGTGTGATGGTCAGTGGGAAGAATGCTCCTTAAACTTGATGTCATAGGGATTATCGTTACAGATCAATGGTGTCAGTGGGAAATTATTTGAGAGGTAGAAAGTGCTCACTGCTCAAGGAACCCTTAGCAACCTTTGGAGGAACCCTAGGATTCCATGAAACCCTGCTATAGTAATAAATGTTTCTGTGTTCCTTAAAGCGGTGGTAAACCACAAAGAAAAATCTAAAAAATCTTCTCCCTGCAAGTCAAGAGCATAATGTGCTAGAATGCATTGCATACTAGCACATTATGGAAGACTTACCTGAAAACAAAGCCCTCCAGCGGAGCACTGTCACAGCTCCCCAAGGCTTCCATCTTCACCCGGTATTCCTTCCAGGTTCGTGAGCTGCTGCTGTCTGATTGGCCGAGCCGTGATGTCTTCAGTCCTGTGCATAAGTGCAGGAGTTTTGGCCACGGCACAGCTCTCTCCATGGATGGCGCACCGTACACTGAGAGCGTAGTGTGCATGCATCGGTGACGTCACTGGTGCTTCTACAGTGAATATCTCCTAAACAGTTCATGTTTATGAGATATTTACAGTACCTACAGCCAGGGGCGGACTGACCATTCGAGCTCTCGTGCACTGCCCAAGGGCCCAGGGTCAGTAGGGGGCCCCATGAGATGCTCCTGGTACCTTTCATTGGCTTTTCATAGGCTTTTTTGGGTGTGGGCGAGGACACGGGGGCCCCATGATCCCCTATTGCCCGAGGGCCCCATGAGTTGTCAGTCCGCCCCTGCCTACAGCTAAGCTTCATTAAATGCCTATAATAAAGCTTACGTGTAGGTAAAATGAATGTCTCCTAAATGTGCACTGTTTAGGAGATAATTGCTGTTTCTGACAGCCAGCGCATGCATCTGAAGGACCAGCATAGCCGTGCCGTTTCTTCAGAGCACTGTGCCGTGTCCTGAGACTCCCGTGTGCATGTACAGGAGTGATGTCGCCGCAGCTCACCTGATGGAAGCCGTGTGACAGCATGCCGTTGCAGGGCTTCGTTTTAAGGTAAGTCCTTCATAATGTGCTAGTATGCGATGTGTACTAGCACATTATAATATCTTGCAGGGGTTTTTTTTTTATCTTTACTACCACTTTAGGGTTGTAGAATTTTCTGTATTCCTGCAGGTTTCATATTCTTTGTTTCACTAAGTGCTCTTTCACACAGGCGGCCAAGGGCCATTAAACAGGAAGCCAAGTCATGGTTTTACCATCCCCCCAACAACCCAACTAAATTCTAACATTACAGCCGGATGGGGCTGTACAAATGCTGCTACCACCTGTCAAACTTGGCCTGCAGAGTTTGACAGATGACACTGCCTGTCATACTCGCCCATTGAGGTCATTGGGAGTGCTCTGCAACTTCGAGCCAAATCTGCAGTTTTTTTAATACAAAATCCCCTTTACAATTAAAATAAAACAGACATTTTGGAGGCAGAAGGATTACCTCACGATCACCCTGATCAGCCACTGCCCTACTACCCCCTGAAAAGTGATCCACCATGTATAACTTTTTAGAGAGTGATAGGCTCTGCCACAGTGTTAAAGAGACCTTATCTATTTATCCACCTTGCCCTCTGTCCTCTCCCTTACCATTTTGTCTCCATTGTTTCCTTCCTGCACATTGAATATTTGAGTTTTGGTTTCAGTATCAGTTCTTCAAGTGCGCAAGCTAGGTTATTTTTTACCTGTGAAAGTAATAAACCATGCATTTACACCCACCATTTTTTTTTCAGGATCTCTGTACCCAACCAGCATGCGTATTAATGAAGAGGGACGCTTGGTGGTCAATTTTAAGACTGAGGCTCGATTCAATGGTCTATTCATGATGTCACATCCTGGTATGAATAGCAAAAATCACTTCCACTAGAATCAGAAACAACCCATACAGTTTAACCATTTGCCGCCTGCCCTATGGCCGAATGGCGGTCAGCATATGTCATCAGCGTTCCGGGTGGACGCCATATGGCGTCCTCCCGCACATGCGCACTTTTTTGCGCTTGCAGAGCCGCGCAGCGGGCACGATCTGTCACTGGCCGTGTACCTCGGACACAGCCGATGACAGATCTGATTATCGGCCCCGTTGCCGGTACCATGTGACCTGCTGTGACCAATCACAGCAGGTCACATGACAGTTGTATACAATGGATAGCTTCATTCATGCCATCCATTGTATACTAGTGTCTAACTGTGAATGGTCACAGCTAATCACATGCACATGTCATGTGATTAGCTGTGGCCAAATCACAGCTAAGCACAAAAAAAAAAAACCCTGAATGAATCGATGTCATTCAGGTAAATGCTTGCTTATAGCAAAGTAATTCTTTGCTATAAGCAAATTGTGTAAAAAAAAAAAAATAAAGAAATACTGACCACTTCCCCAAAGTAGTACAATGTTACTATGGTAACATTGTACTACTTTGGACATAGTGAAATATGAAAAAAAATCTTTAAAAAAAAAGAAAAAAAAAGGGAAAAAACAAATTAAAAATAATAAAGAAAATATATATTTTTTTTTTTCCATACTGTCACCAGTCAGTGTCCCTGATCACCGCCATGCCAGTTATATGAAGATGCTGTACTGCACTGGTGACAGTGTGTAAAAAAAAAAATAGTGAAAATAATTTTTTGCATTTTTTCATTTTCCAAAAAATTATGACATAAAAAATACAGCTTCAAAAAACTCGCCATGCCTCTTATGAAGTACGTCGGACTGTCTACTCTGCAAAAAGGGATCATTCGGGGGGATATCTGTACTGTTCTGATATTCTTGGACCTCAAGAAATTAGATTGGCTGTCAGTACTTCAGGATTGATCAATATTCAGATCTATACCATAGTTTGTGAACTCTATAACTTTCCTACAAACTAAAAAATACATCCTAATTTGGGTTATTTTCACCAAAGACATGTAGCAGAATACATCTCGGCCTAAATTTATGAAGAACAATTATTTATTTGCAAAATTTTATAACAAACAAAGAAAAACGTGTGTTTTTTTCAAACTTTTTGGTCTTTTTTTGTTAATTTAGCAAAAAACAAAAATCCCGGCGGTGATTAAATACCACCAAAAGAAAGCTCTAGTTGTGTGAAGAAAATTATAAAATTTTGGTTTGGGTACAATATTGCATGACCGCGCAATTGTCATTCCAAGTGTGAGAGCGCTGAAAACTGGCCTGGGCAGGAAGGTGTAAAATTGCCCGGTATTGAATTGGTTAAAATAGAAATTAAAGGCAAAACATTTGTGTATATGTATAAAAACATTATAAATACTTCTTTTTTCCTTTTTTATAAATAATTACATAGACAGGTGGGGGAGAAGAAACAACATTACACTGAATGGCTGGGTAGGGGTGTGTCAGGACAAGTCAGATCATTGGAGGAGAGCAGACTGAGTTCCCAGCTAGAAAACTGACCAGAATGTGTTCTTATACCTAGTGTGGTCAGTTTTTAATAGGAAAGCAGAGGGACTGGGAGGAGCCCCAGGAATTTCACACAAAGGAAGCAATACAAATAAAACAAAACACTATTTTCATATAAGTACATGGTACAGCAGGCACATATCAGGAATATGATATTGTTGAGTTTACATACTCTCCAATAGGAAAGGACTTTGCATTCAGTGCATGAGAACATCTGCCAAGCCAAGTCTACAGATCTAGAAACGCATATAAGAGATACAAGAATGTGTCAGGTGGTTTCAATTTCCAATATCTTCCAAAAATTAGATACCAGTTTTGGGTGGACTGACCGTTAAATTATTCTTAAAAGTAGTACTCTTAGGGAGTTCATTTATAAAGAATTTGCATAGCCATTTACCTAGTGAATGTACATTTGTTCTGTTGAATAGGACAACAACAAAAGTAAATAGACTATATCCTGTGCAGTTCCAATGTAGATAATTTTTTCAAACAGAAAATACTGCATCTAGCCAGTAGATGGCGCTAAGTATCATTGGAAATTCCTAGGATACTTAGCTCCATCTAGTGGCCAGATGCAGTAGTTTCCTTTATAAATCAACATTTTACCTTCGAACAGCACAGGATATATGCTTTTTAAATAGTTTTTTGCCCCATTCAGACAGGATAAATGTAAATGTTCTTTCCCTGGGCAAATGGCCATGTGAATTCTTTATAAATGAACCCTTTAACATTTGTCAACTGGAATATATATGATCTTCAGTTGTGAAACAATGGTTAGCAAGCAGGATTATATGTATATAACTTCCTCCATGAAGCATTAAAGTAGATGAATCTGGCGTATTTAAATTCACTCTGTCACTCTAAAAAAGAACCTTGCAAGCAGAAGTAAACTATGGGCTCCTAGAAGAATGCCAAGTATTTCTAAATGGACAAAGCTCCAACATTCCTCGTAGTGAGGGAACTTACCTGCTTCCTCCTGCCTCCAGTTGTCCAATAACAAGGGACCTTTGGATTGCTGTGGGGTTATGATGAAATTACCCTGATGGCTGATTGAGAAGGGGAACTGTTTTATGTCCCCAACCCCCCTTCTTGAAGTGCCAGTCTAATTCCATAGTGCACATTTACATATAGTCAGGGCTGCTGTTAGAAACCACGGGGCTCCATACAGCCAACCTGACAACCCCCCACCCCCAAAAAAATAAAGTTTACTATGCTTCAATTATGAATGATCGCAGTGAGTGATCGGTTCCAATCATTCAGTGTGTTCATTCAGGAAAGGAAGGAGCTGGTACAGTAAATTTGACATATTTACCGGACTCTTCCCCCACTCTCCACCCTGAAGGATCCTATTGTATGCTTGCAGCTGCCAGTGGGAAGGAAGCACTACTGGAGTGGGGGGCACACAGAGGGGCCTGGGTAGCAGGGGAAATGTATGGTGTACAGGGAGGGTGATGGGTGGTAATTACTGGAACCGATCTCTTGTATGGGGAGGGAGGGAGAGAAGAAGCCAGCTTTCAGCTGCTGCAGAGAGTCATACAGGTAATTGGTTCCAGTAATTCCCCACTGTGCCGATCATCCTCCCCTCCCAAATCTGATTCAGATACTGGACCCCCCTGCTGTCCTGGGCCTCATACAGGAGGACTGGTGGTACCCCCTTATCCACGGCCCTGCATATACAGTGAAAGAAATAAGTATTTGATCCCCTGCTGATTTTGAATGTTTGCCCACTCACAAAGAAATGATCAATCTAAAAATCAAATTGTAGGTGTATTATAACACTGAGAGACAGAATAGCAACAAAAATTTCAAAAGAAATGCATGTCTAACAAATTATGCACTAATTTGCATGTTTATGAAGGAAATAAATATTTGATCCCCTTCACAAAACATGACTTAGTGCTTGGTGGCAAATCCCTTGTTGGCAATCACAGAGGTCAGACGTTTCCTGTAGTTGGCCACCAGGATTGCACATATCTCAGGAGGGATTTTGGCCCACTCCTCTTGGCAGATCCTCTCCAAGTCATTAAGGTTTGGTGGTTGACATTTGGCAACTCGAACTTTCAGCTCCCTCCACAGATTTTCAATCGGATTAAGGTCTGTAGACTAGCTAGGACACTCCAGGACCTTAATGTGCTTCTTCTTGAGCCACTCTTTTGTTGCCTTGGCTGTGTGTTTTGGGTCATTGTTATGCTGGAACACCCATCCATGACCCATTTTCAATGCCCTGGCTGAGGGAAGAAAGTTCTCACCCAAGATTTGACGGTACATTGCCCCGTCCATCATCCCTTTGATGCAGTGCAGTTGTCCTGTCCCCTTAGGAGAAAAGCACCCCCAAAGCAGAATGTTTCCACCACCATGTTTGACAGTTGGGATGGTGTTCTTGGGGTCATAGGCAGCATTCCTCCTCCTCCAAACACGGCGAGTTGAGTTGATGCCAAAGAGCTCGATTTTGGTCTCATCTGACCACATCACTTTCAACCAGTCCTCCTCTGCATCATTCAGATGTTCGGTGGCAAGCTTCAGACAGGCCTGGACATGTGCTTTCTCGAGCAGAGGGACCTTGCAGGCACTGCAGGATTTCAATCCTTGTCGGCGTAGTGTGTTACCAATTGTTGTCTTGGTGACTGTGGTCCCAGCTGCCTGGAGATCATTGACAAGATCCTCACGTGTAGTTCTGGAATGATTCCTCACTGTTCTCATGATCATTGACACTCCACAAGGTGAGATCTTGCATGGTGCACCAGACCTAGGGAGACTGACAGTTGTTTTGTGTTTCTTCTTCATTTGTGAATGATTGCACCAACTGTTGTCACCTTCTCACCAAGCTGTTTGGCGATAGTTTGGTAGCCCAGTCCAGCCTTGTGTAGGTCTACAATCTTGTCCCTGACATCCTTGGACAGCTCTTAGGTCTTTGCCATGGTGGAGAGTTTGGAATCTGATTGTTTGATTGCTCCTGTGGACAGGTGTCTTTTATACAGGTAAAAAATTAGATTAGCAGCACTCCCTTTTAAGAGACTTCTTCTAATCTCAGCTTGTTACCTGTATGAAAGACACCTGGTAGCCACAAATCCTTCTGAATGACGGGATCAAATACTTATTTCCCTCATGAACATGAAAATCAGTGCATAATTTGTTAGACATGAATTTCTTTTGATTTTTTTGTTGCTATTCTGTCTCTGTGTTATAATACACCTACCATTCGATTTTTTGACTGATCATTTCTTTGTGAGTGGGCAAACATTCAAAATCAGCAGGGGATCAAATACTTATTTCCTTCACTGTAGTTACATAGTTTGGTCCATTCAGTTCATCCTATGACACAGGTATCCACAAGCTCTTTCTGAAGATGTCAATTCTTAGCCATTGAACTGATTGATTTTAGCACTATATTGTTGCAGTGGGGACATTATTGGTAAAATCGATCACATTTATTTGCATGACTGTAAATTAGCCTGAACTCTTTCTAGCTTCATGCCTGTCTGGTCACTGGAGAAATACCTTGAATGGTCTTGTTGAAAAAGAGCAAGAATTTATTCTTTAAAAATGAATATACAAATTTTAAAGCTTTAACCTTGATAAAACATTTTTTTTTCTTTTTGACAGGGTGGGAAAGGGTCTGTTTCCTCATTGGGGAGATTTCCTCTCACTTCCTGTCTGGATGTGATGAGAAATCTCCCACATGGGGACACACATTGCATCATTTCTGTTTATTATTGGGAGAGTTAGAACATTTGTGAGGTTATCATTATTGTCAGCCTGTTCATGTATTGGTGACAACTGCTCCTGAATGGGGTCATAAACAGGAGTCATGATTTAATAGAAGTATTTACTCTTCCAAAATCCTTACAAATCTACAAAAAAAAAAGTATTGTCTGGAGTGTATAAATACTAAATTAATTTATTAATAACCGGAGTCTGTTTGTTCTAGGAACTTCACTGAGCTCTATGATCATGTCAGCTGATCACCCTGAGCTGATCTTTACACTAAGTCTTGTACGGAGTGAACCAACCTATAGCCAGCCAGTCCAGCAGTGGAGCTTTGTTTCTGAATTTGCGGTAAGAGAAGGTTTGGCATTACATAAAATACTTTTTCCTCTTTACAATGCACTGATACTCCTTTTTGATGCAGTAGTCTGTCTATTCATTGTTTTTAAAGGTTTTTAGTATTTTACATGTCCTTTTGTACATAAGAGTCATTGAAATATTTAGTTTTAGTGACATTATAGGTCCAGTGACATGTGCTGATATGTGCAGTAATGCATGTTATCACCTCCTTCTCTCTAGCTCCCTTGTTCCCTCCTCTCATGCTCCTCTCCAGGACTTCTCCAGAGCCTCCCCCATCCTCTGGAACTCTCTACTCCAATTTATTGCCGACTCTACTCACTTTTAGGCGATCTCTGAAAATCTCTTCAGGGAAACCTATCCTGCCTTCAGCTACTAATGGAATCTTCTATTCCTCCTACCAGTCCATCCCCCACATTTATTATCTTTTTTACCACTAGCCCCTCCCTCTTAGATTGTAAGCTCCTAGGAGCAGGACCCTTCTAACCCTCTTGTATTACATATAGTTACATAGTTAGTCTGGCTGAAAAAAGACAAAAGTCCATCTAGATCAACCATAAAAAAAAAAAAGTTATAATCCTATCACCCCCAGTTGATCCAGAGGAAGACAAAAAGACTCAGCAAAGCATGATCCAATGTGCTCCTGCTGGGAAAAAAAAATTCCTCCCGGATCCCCTGAGAGGCAATCGGATATTCCCTGGATCAACTATACCTATAAATGTTAGTATCCAGTTATATTCTGTGTATCTAAGAAACAATCCAGGCCTTTTTTAAAGCAATCCACTGAGCTGGCCAGTACCAACTCTTGATGGAATCGATTCCACATTTTCACAGCTCTTACTGTGAAGAAACCTTTCCATGTTTGGAGATTAAATTTATTTTCCTTCAGACGTAAAGAGTGCCCCCTTGTCCTCTGTGATGACCTCCGGGTGAATAGCTCTACACCGAGTTCACTATATGAACCACTGATGTATTTTATACATGTTGATCATATCCCCCCTTAATCTCCTCTTCTCAAGAGAGAATAAATTCAGTTCCTCTAATCTTTCCTCATAGCTGATCTCCTTCATGCCTCTTATCAGTTTGGTTGGTCTTCTCTGTACTTTCTCCAGTTCCCCAATGTTCTTTTTGTGAATTGGTGCCCAAAACTGAACTGCATATTCCAGATGAGGTCTTACTAATGATTTGTACAGGGGTAAAATGATATTTCTCTCTCTGGAGTCTATACCTCTTTTACTACAAGAGAGGATTTTGCTCGCTTTAGAAACCGCAGCTTGGCATTGCATGCCATTATTAAGCTTGTGATCTACCAGAACTCCCAGATCTGTACTGTATTGTTGCTGTATTGGCTCCCATTATATTGTAAAGCGATGAGCAAACTGTTGGCGCTATGTAAATCCTCTATTATATTAATAATGTTACAACACAAGTGTTAAGGTCAGCCTACAAATTAAGTTAAGGTAAGAGGTCAGGGCATTTTTGTGCTAAAAACTACCCACATCTGGTTCTTGACACACTAAACCTGTGGTTGGCAATTAATTTTCCCAAGGAGCCACATGGGAAACTGGGACTCGTGTGGTCGAACCTAATTCTGCTCATTACGGGGAGGTCCATAAGTATGTAAACATACAGAAAACATACACCTAGCACCAGTAATAATAGGTTTAACCGATCATGAAATAGGAACTATGAAATAACATCTGGATGGGGCTGTTCACTTGCTGTGGCCATGGCATTTTAACTTGAGCTACAGAGTTTGACATGTGGCTCAGCTTGTCAAACTTGCCCATTGAGTTCAATAGGGTCATACTGCAACTGTGTACAATGCATGCAGTTGCAGTGCGGTAGTATAGAGTTAAATCAGTCGGTGAAGAGGTGATTTAACACCTTCTTGCACCTGTCAGATGCCATTTGAAAAGCACTGAGACTGGAAGGAGAGAGCCTGAGATCAGTACAATGGGGATTTCTACAGATCCTGGCCTGGAGTGTAGAACAGGTGCACAGCCGCTTGGGTTTGCCGCATGCAGGCGCTGACACCGGAAGGACTTGGCAAGGTAGCAGAACTGAGCCTCCCTGCTGTACCAATCAGCTAATCAGGCTCTTTTCTTCCAGTTCTTGCTGCTCTCCACATGAACATCTGTCGGCGTGCTTCTCTGAGCCTGTCAGCTTCCTCAGTAAGAAAGTTGGATGGATGAGGTTGGGGTTCCTTTAAAGCAAAGTTTGGGTTTATAAAAGAAAAAAAAACAACCATACATACTCACCCCCATGCTGCAGCGTCTCTGTGATGCTGCAGCTGTCCCATGCTGGCTGTGAGAGCGAGAGCTATGCAATCGCCTGATCAATCATCCCTCGGTCTGCTCGGTGCTTTGAACAACTGTTACAGGCATGGTTGGCTTCAGCTGTCAGCCACACCGTGAATGGCAGAGCCAGCTGTCCATGAGGCAGCCGGGTGGATCCTGACCATATTGTCGGGATCTTCCCAAACATATTGCAGCTCTGCAGCTGATGGCAGACAATAGCAAACTTTGGGTCACAGAGGTACACTAGTAAATGTTTTCCTGTGAGCAAAAAGGGAAATAGCCAAAAAAGGTTTGGCTATACTTCTCTTTAATACCATAAGTGGAGTGGTGCTGAATCACTGGATCTTGTCGGGATCTTCCCAAACGTATTGCAGCTCTGCACCGTCAGCTGATGGCAGACAATAGCAAGCTTTGGGTCACAGAGGTACACTAGTAAATGTTTTCCTGTAAGCAAAAAGGGAAGTATAGCTAAAAAAAGGTTTGGCTGTACTTCTCTTTAATACCATAAGTGGAGTGGTGCTGAATCACTGGATCTCTGAGTCTGCGGAGGACAGTGCTGAAGATAAGGTGAGTAAAGCAGCTGAAGAGCTCATTTTGTTTTTAGCCACTGCTGGGGATCAAATATCTTTTTTGGCACACGCTGGTATCAGGCTTTATTCCACCACCTGTCTTCCAACCAGGAGATTCCTATTTTGTTAGTAACTTTTGTTATGACCAAAACTACTGGAACAATATAGCTGTTGAAGGTGCAGATAGAATAAACTCATTATCTTGAATATAATTGTGTTATCAAGAAAAAACACAGCATATGTTACAGAAAAAAAATGTTCAAAAATCTATCTGATAACTGTCTCTCTTATAATGCCCTTAACAGGTCCGGGATTACTCAGGAACATACACTGTCAAACTCATCCCCTGTACTACAGCTCCATATCAAGTATATAGTCTGCCAGCCATGTGTAATCCTCGGGAGCCAATAACATTTGATGTTGACATCAGATTCCAACAGGTATTTTTCTGTTCAGAATAATAATATTTTGGTAAAGCTAACATTAAAGTGTTACTAAACCCATAACAATAAAATCAGTCTGTATATGCAGTAAAGCATGCTTGTTATACTCACTGTGGAACCTAAGGGGTTAATCCACTGCATTGTGTAAAATTCCATTTGATCCTTTCTTCTCTGCCCCTCCTTTTCTTCAAATGTCCATGTCTTATCTCCTGATAAGACAGACTGAACTGTAGCCATTCTGCACATGCTCAGTTTGGTGCGTATTGCTAGAGAGGTTTTTTTTTTTTTTTGGGAGCGTGCATGTGATCAGCACAGGGCCAATCAGCACTGTCCAGACAGAGGTCAGGGGTTTTGCATCCTCCTAGAGCAGAAAGGAAACTCCTCCTACAAGCTTTAACCAGTGCTCTGCTGGACACTGATAGAAGCCACAAGACGGCTCTAACTGCTGATGAGAAAAGGTATTTAGCAGTTTATATTTACTAAAATAATTGCATTTCCACGTTCTGTGTACTGTGGGAGACCAGATATAGTGAATACAGGGTCCTAGGTCTAGTAACACTTTAATGTGAATTGTGGGTTTTAATGAAAGGCACCTTTTAGGCAATCAAATCTGACCAAATGGCTGTCCTTTTATACTCTTACACAGCTTGTGTTAAAAAAAAATATAAATTGTGTGTAACACCAATAATGGTATACACAAATAAATGTGCCGCTCATTGCAGGGGCAAGGCTCATGTTGATTGGGTTTTTGTCAAATGCAGAAATATTTTGTTTGAATGCAATGTACCAATAGTGAATGCAGCATTGGACAAGAAAAGGCTTGGTCTGATCTGCTTTGCCTTAACATAGTTACATAGTTAGTCTGGCTGAATAAAGACAAAAGTCCATCCAGTTCAACCATTAAAAAAAACAAAATGTATAATCCTACACCTACAGTTGATCCAGAAGAAAGGCAAAAAAAACCCCAGCAAAGCATGATCCAATTTGCTCCTGCAGGGGAAAAAATTCCTTCCTGATGCCCCGAGAGGAAATCAGATATTCCGTAGATCAACTTTACCTATAAATGTCAGTATCCAGTTATATTCTGTGTATCCAAAAAAGAAATCCAGGCCTTTTTAAAGCAATCCACTGAGCTGGCCAGAACCAACTCTTGAGGGAGTCTATTCCACATTTTCACAGCTCTCACTGTGAAGAAACCTTTCCGTGTTTGGAGATTACATTTCTTTTCCTCCAGATGTAAAGAGTGCCCCCTTGTCCTCTGTGATGACCTCAGGGTGAATAGCTCTACACCAAGTTCACTATATGAACCACTGATGTATTTATACATGTAGATCATATCCCCCCTTAATCTCCTCTTCTCAAGAGAGAATAAATTCAGCTCCTCCATGCCTCTTAGCAGTTTGGTTGCCCTTCTCTGTACTTTCTCCAGTTCCCCAATGTTCTTTTTGTGAATTGGTGCCCAAAACTGAACTGCATATTCCAGATGAGGTGTTACTAATGATTTGTACCGGGGTAATATGATATCTCTCTCTCTGGAGTCTATACCTCTTTTAATACAAGAGAGGATTTTGCTCGCTTTAGAAACCGCAGCTTGGCATTGCATGCCATTATTAAGCTTGTGATCTACCAGAACCCCCAGATCCTTCTCCACCATTGATCCCCCCAGTTGCACCCCCCTAGTATGTATGATGCATGCATATTCTTAGCCCCCAAGTGTATAACCTTACATTTATCAACATTAAACCTCATTTGCCACATAGTTGCCCAATTAAACAGTGCATTGAGGTCGGCTTGTAAATTGGAGACATCCTGTAAGGACGTTATTCCACTGCACAGCTTGGTGTCATCTGCAAAGACTGAAATGGGATTTTTAATCCCAGACCCTATACCATTTATAAATATATTAAAAAGTAAGGGTCCCAACACTGAACCTTGGGGTACACCACTGACCACCCTAGACCATTCAGAGAATGAATCATTAACCACTACTATCTGAATAAGGTCTTTTAGCCAGTTTTATATCCATTTACATACGGACTCATCAGACTTATCTTAGTAGTATTGCGTCCAAAGAAACACAGTGCAAAGTAAAGCAGGTCAAACACTACCTTTGTGTCATCTACACTACTTAATTGATGTAAGTGGGAATTTGCTGATCTGCTCTTGATATGCGCTTCAAACACACATCAAATGCAGTAATACATTACCTGCCTACATGATCCCTTACAGGTTTCCATGTACTGTTTAGTTTGTTTTGTTAATTTCAACCCTGAGAAACCTCTGATCACAGAAACTGTTACAAGTGATGCATTGCCTTCCATTACTCCTTAGGTCAGCGATCCAGTGGCTGCAGAGTTTAATTTGAACACCCAGCTGATCCTTCTATCTAAAAAGTCTCTCTGGTTGTCGGATGGATCAATGGGATTTGGCCAAGAAAGTGACATAGCCTTTTCCGAAGGTATGATACAGTACACTTTTGATGAAATTAGTGCTGTAACTTCTAAACCTATCAAGTTGATGTACTATTTGCATCTACTACATCTATTGCGTATTATTAAAAATGGGTACATCATGTAATCCTCATGAGAAGTTGATTTTTTTTATTTGTAGGAAGTTGTAAAGATTAAAAAAATATTCTGTGGCCATCTAGGTGTTGTCCTAATCTTCAGGGGGTATAGCATAAATTAAAATTTAAAAACATGCAATGGTGTTTGTAGCCTATAGGTATAGATTTAACTAAATAATCCATGTTATAGTAAGATCATAAAACAAAGGAATTATCCTAAAAGATGTCCTGATTGTTGTACTCTAAGAGTTCTCTTTGTTTAGTGATGATGAAGATGGGTTCTAGTCTGATATAATAGTAAAAAAGATTAGTCAGGGCTAAACACCTTCCCTGGGAGTTCCTGGTCACCAGGGGCGAACTGACCATTCCAGCACTCGGGCATTGCCCGAGGGCCGGGGGTCAGTAGGGGGCCCCATAAAATGCCCTTTTATAGGCTTTTTTGGGTGTGTTTTGAGTGTGGACAAGGACACAGGGGCCCCATGATCCCCAATTGCCCGGGGGCCCCTTGAGTTGTCAGTCCGCTCCTGCTGGTCACATTGAAAGATAGCAGGTAGGTGACTTTTGTCACCCACTTTTAAGTACTTTGGTTACTTGCCTAATTTTTTTCCAAACACCAGGTTTGTTTTAAAGTGAGATTGTAATTTTATGGAACATTTACAGCATGGATACTACATGCACATCATACTACTCCTCCCACTGGGCCAGCAGTGCCTTTCCTCCCAATAATACAATAGTTTGGGCAGCATGGTGACTGTTTGTTTTAGGACCCTTTAAAACCTGCTTTGTTAATTGAAGCCTATATAGGTTTTTCTAAATACTAACTAACCCAGGATATAGCAAAATAAAAAATAATAAAATAGAGAAAGTGTCCAAAAGATTGCCCTGATTGTTGTACTCTTCCTAAGTGGCATTGTAATTTTATGGAATAATAAGAACATGGATACTGCATGCACATCATACTACTTCTACTGGGACAGCAGTAGCTATCTTCCCAACTCAAGTCCACTAGTTTGGTCAGCATGGTCACCTTTCATTTAGGAGACCTGTATTGCAGTGTTAAGGTCTTGTGTTCATTTTCAACCAGATAGTTTTTTTGCCTGGAGTTTGGATATTTTCACTGTGTTTGTAAGCTCATTGACTTATATAAATGTACACTGTGAAGACAGAGATAGTTCTGGCATTATTTGCTTTTTTTTTCTATAGTTTACGTAGACTGTAACTATTCATTGGAATAAGCAATCCCATAGATGTGCCAGCAAATTATTCCCATTTTTAGTGCCATCAGAGCTTGCATACCTCCAGACAGATCTGACCTGTGAGTTCCAAAAACAGAAGTTACTTGACCAAATATTAAGTATGGGATCTAAGTAAATCAGGGGTGTTATTTGTTTTCTTGTTTAAAAAGTACAGGTTTATTATGATTATACAAATGTGATATGTCATAAAATGTTGTTATTGGCCGATGAGCTAAAGAAAAGAGCCTGTCTTCATATTATGTAAAAAGTCAGATCTGGACTAAATATTTATTCTACAGGTGATATCATTTATGGTCGGGTGATGGTGGACCCCGTACAGAACTTGGGTAATTCATTTTATTGTAATATCGAGAAGGTTTTCCTGTGCACTGGAGCAGATGGATATGTTCCAAAATATAACCCACCCGTCACTGAATATGGCTGCCTTGCTGATTCAACATCTCTTCTGTACCGATTTAAAATTTTGGTGAGTTTAGTGGCAACCTTACTATCAAAGCTGGTTGTAAGGGTTATCAGTTCCGTCTACTTTCCCTACCCTTCACTCTTCTCAGCTGTTTTCTGCTACATCGGGTATGGATTCCATGGCTATGAGTCTCTACAGATACCCCTGCATCTCAAAAAATCAGTCAGACAAAATGGAAAAACTTGTCTGCTAGTGTTTACCTTTCTTTTCTCTGCACAGGCATAAATATGAATGGTCCACCAAGCCAAGCATTATTGTTTTTGAAAGGGCTGGCTAAAATACATTCATAGGGGTTCTAAGATCATACCAGACCATCTGACTGCCTTCTTATGCACGTGGCTGCACTAATATGCCCTATGGAGGCTTTTTGGGAGTTAAATTTCCTTACATAAAATACAAATTATAAACATACTCTAATATGTAAAGAGGCCCAGCCTTTGGCCTTAACCCAGAAATACAGAAAAAAGCATTCTATGTAATATTCATCTTGGTGTCATGGGTAAAATAAGTAGTTTAATGGTGGTGGATAACATCTCATTATTTTGTTTTTTATTTTTATAAATGTCTACATTTTGTATATGTTTGTATTAATTTGTATCAGTTAACTCTGCCTACAGTTTGTATTAATTTGTGTCATTTAACTCTGCCCACAGGACAAAGCACAGCCAGAAACTCAGGCAAGCAGATTTGGCAGCGTGCTGTTTAACGCCAGACTTGCCGCCGATGATCCGGAGGCGTTGCCTCTAGTCAAACAGCCGGGTTCAGATGGTTTTAAAGTTGACTCCACTCCTTTGTTCCAGGTGTGTTGTTGCTAACAAAATCATTATCCATGCTCAGGATCAATATATAAATCTTACTACCAAAAGCAGACATTGTTTTAAAGGTGTTTTACATTCCAGCAGAGAGCACTGTACACTCCTCATCCCCCTTCATCATAGGAGAGGAGTTCACAGTTTTATACACTGCTCAAAAAAATTAAAGGAACACTTTGAAAACACATCAGATCTCAGTGGGGAAAAATATGCTGGATATCTATACTGATATGGACTGGGTAATGTGTTAGGAACGTAAGAATGCCCCATTGTTTGATGGAAATTAAAATTATCAACCTACAGAGGACTGAATTCAGACACCCCGAAAATCAAAGTGACACAATTATGCAGCACGCTAGTCCATTTTGCTGAAATTTCATTGCAGCAACTCAAAATGGTATTCAGTAGTTTGTATGGCCCCCACATGCTTGTATGCATGCCTGAAAACGTCGGGGCATGCTCCTAATGAGATGGATTGTGTCCTGGGGTATTTCCTCCCAGGGCATCACTGAGCTCCTACACAGTCTGAGGTGCAACGTGGCAGTGTTGGATGGACCAAAACATGATATCCCAGAGGTGGTATATTGGATTTAGGTCAGGCGAGCATGGGGGCCATTCATTGGTATCAATTCCTTCATCCTCCAGGAACTGCCTGCATACTCTTGCCACATGAGGCCAGGCGTTGTCATTCACCAGGAGGAACCCAGGACCCACTGCACAGCGTAGGGTCTGACAATGGGTCCAAGGATTTCATCCCGATACCTAATGGCAGTCAGGGTGCCATTGTCTAGCCTGTAGAGGTCTGTGCATCCCTCTGGATATGTCTCCCCCCAGACCATCACTGACCCACCACCAAAACAGTCATGCTGAACAATGTTACAGGCAGCATAATGTTCTCCACGGCTTCTCCAGACCCTTTCACGTCTGTCACGTGCTCAGGGTGAACCTGCTCTCATATGTGAAAAGCACAGGGCGTCAGTGGCGGACCTGCCAATTCTGGTGTTCAATGGCAAATGTCAATCAAGCTCTATGGTGCCAGGCAGTGAGCACAGGGCCCACTAGAGGATGTCTGCCCCTCAGGCCACCCTCATGAACTTTGTTTCTGATTGTTTGGTCAGAGACATTCACACCAGTGGCCTGCTGGAGGTCATTTTGTAGGCTCTGGCAGTGCTCATCCTGTTCCTCCTTGCACAAAGGAGCAGATGCTGGTCCTGCTGATGAGTTAAGGACCTTCTACAGCCCTGTCCAGCTCTCCTAGAGTAACTTCCTGTCTCCTGGAATCTCCTCCATGCTCTTGAGACTGTGCTGGGAGACACAGCAAACCTTCTGGCAACCGCACATGTGGCACATTGATGTGCCATCCTGAAGGATTTGGACTGCCTGTGCAACCTCTGTAGGGTCCAGGTATTGCCTTGTGCTAGCAATAGTGACACTGACCCTAGCCAAAGGCAAAACTAGTGAAAAAAACAGTCAGAAAATATGAGTAGGGAAAAAAATGTCAGTGGCCTTCACCTGTAAAATCATTTCTGTTTTGGGTGTTGTCTCATTGTTGCCCATCCAGAGCACCTGTTGGTAATTTCATTAACACCAAAGCAGTTGAAACAGATTAACAACCCCCTCTGCTACTTAACTGACCAGATAAATAACTCAGGAGTTTGACGTGATGCTATACTCTGAATAAAAAGTGTTCCTTTAATTTTTTTTGAGCAGTATATTATGACACTGGAAAGACAGCTAAGGCTTTATGAGTACTGTTCCTCATCACTATTTAGACCTATTTTGATGGATGAATGCAACCAACATGAGGGTGGGAGATATACATTACTACACAGAAAGGCCAGTAATATAAATTCAGTTTTCATTTAATGAACACTAGGCAGAATTCAATAAAGTACTTACAATGCTTTTCTGGCGTTATGTCCTGCGCCAAATTCATGACAATTTTGCAATAGTTTCAGTTACAGTTCCAACATGTACAACAGATTTATGTTATTTTTACAATGTGACAGATTCAAAAAGAATTATCTCCAGTTCGAGGATAACAAACTTTTATCCCCTTCCCACTGATGCCTCTCGGCCCTTTAAGAGCTTCTAGATGCTGGGAGGCAGAGGCGGGCATTCGGGTCATATGACCACTATGATTGGCTGTCACAGTGGTCAGATGATCAGAAAGCCCCCTGATGACAAATATTTATCTGGAGCTTACCAATCCCCAGCAACTACCGTGCTGGGAGCAATCTGGGAGCGCACGCTCAGCACAAAAAGTTGTTTTTACAGGGCCACATATATGCCCACCTGCCAAGAGGCTGCATATATGCATATGGCTAGCACAAAATTAAGACCAACTCAACTCGAAGTAGGTGGAACCCAAGAGGCTATCTCTATGCACAAAACCAGGTCCAAAAAGATATGGTTTGATCAGTTTGGTATGGAGGAACTTAAAGGGGAACTTCACTCTCTCTCAATCAACATTGCCTATTTTGAATCCTTATTCTTCTAGCATTAGAAAAATAGATAAGAAAGTATATCATATGTATTTACTTTTTTAAGCTTTTTTTTTTTTTTTTACATTTAGTCAGTTACTTCTTGGTATCCATGCCTAGACAAATGGGGGTTTATTTACTAAAGCTGGAGAGTCCAAAATCAGACTCCCTTCTGCATAGAAACCAATCAGCTTCCAGGTTTCATTGCCAAAGCTTCATTGAACAAGCTGAGGTTAGAAGCTGATTGGTTTCTATGCAGAAGGGAGTCTGATTTTGGACTCTCCAGCTTTAGTAAATAAACCCCATGATGTCACATAGATGAATGGGTGAGTTTCCTTTGAATATTAAAGGAGAATTACAGTCAAAGCTCCTTTGGCTGTACTTCTGTGGATGACAGGAGTGCAGTTTGTTTGTTTTGTACTCCTGTGGCCCATCTTTAGCTGACAGCGGCTGAAGCCCGCTGTCAGCTGACATCACTCAGTCAGTCCAGGCTGGGGAAAGATCCCGACTTAAAAGTCAGGATCCACCCCAGAGACTGGATCAGCACCTGGCTCAGCCTCTCAGCGAGCCACTTAGAGCCTGAGCCAGCCACTCCCCCTCCACAGCCCAGCACTCCGGTGAGTGCTGGGGGGCAGCAGAGCAGAGAGCGGTGACTGACAGTCACCACTCTCTGCTCAGAGCGACCGTGAGAACTCAGAATCCACCTATAAGTATAACTGGGGGAAAAAAAGATAAATCCACACTTCTCTTTTAAAAATGAATTGAGTAGCATTTTTGGTTTGTGGTGCTCAGATGCAGTGTAGTTCAGCTTCAAGTGGCCTACACAGAGCCGTCACCTACACCTTTGGGATTATTAGGAGTGTGTGCCAGGTTTACTCATCCAACATCAGTACCTGACTTTACAAATGTTCTTTTGGCCCAATAGGCACAAATTACCACAGACACATTCCAAAATCTAATGCAAGGTTTCACAGAAGAGTGAAGGCTGTTATAGCAGCAAATGGGAAGCCAAATCCAAATGAATGCATGGTTTTGTAGTGGGATGTTTCACAATCTCATATAGGTGTGATGGCCTGGTGTCAACAAGCTTTTCACCATATAGTATAGCTGAGGTTGTAACATCAGTAGTAATTTTGGTGTGCCTATTGCTCTGTTGTTGCTAAATGCATGACAAATGCATATCACTTGTGTGAATGTCTTGAAAAGCATATTCTCTGAATGTTCTTCAGGTGTCTACCGGACGAGAGTGGTATATACACACAATCTATACTGTAAGGTCCAAAGAAAATGCAAACAGAGGCATTGGAAAAAGAAGTGTTGATTATCAGTACCATTCAGTATTGAATGTTGGTGCTTCAGGGGGTTCAGCAGCTCGTAAGAAAAGAGATGTCAGTGAAGCCCCAACAATTGCTCAGGATATCGGCATGGAGAACAACAGAGGAACCAATATCCAACACATAATACTGGAACGCAGCAACAAGAAGACTGCTTCAGAGAAGGAAATTACTGTTGATGGGATTATTCCTAGAGAGCTGAATAAAAATGAAAGTGAGGTCAACGTGGTTATCATTGTGGTCATCCTTGCAGCAATATTACTACTTGTGGTCTGTTTGATAGCCATTATTGTTTTCCTGCTTAGACACAAGCAGAAATCTAAGAAGAAGGAAGAAGGTCAAGAATCAGGAAGTAGTGAGCCCATGATGCCGCATCGTGGTTACAGTACCGACAGCTCAGAGGTTTGACATTGTGTAGCTTTGGTCAAGCCATAGTAGAGTGCCTCAAAATAACTATATTTCCAGTAAATGTCTCTTTCCAGAACACATATATGTACTCTGTGCCACATGGTCAATCTGCTCTTAAATACCTCATCTCTATTTAATGTGTTGGATGGACCATGAGGAGCACAGATGAGACAGGCGCATGAAACCATTGACTTTGTACAGATGGACGTTTAACAAACCTGACAACCTGAACTCATGCACTGAACATGAAGAGGCGCTGAACTAAAACTATAAATGAGGATCATCCTCTTGTATTTCTTTTATATTATTTAAAAAATGGAAAATATGCAAAGGTGCTGATAGCTCATCTCTTTCTTCTTAGAGAGAGAGCTCATTCTTAGTTAACCTCGGAGGTTCAATGATGATTCTATACATTTCAAATAAGTATTATGTTTGCCAAGAGAGATTTGAATGGTATCAAGATATTTAAGATACTTAAATTCATTCTTTTGTCCATTGCAATGTGTAAACTAATGACATGGTCCAGTTACCGCACATTTTGCAAACATGCTGTTCCATTGTATGCCAAAGATTCCTTATACCTACAAGGTACTAATCTAGGAGAGGACATGGCTTATTCACAGTGTAATTGTAGCTTTTTGTATGTGGTTGTTGTCACACAGTGGACTTGTTTTAAAGTGCACCTGTAGTTGAGGAATAAAGGAGGTGAGTGGAGGAGGTATACATTGTATTTGGTTCTTTCAGGTTTTTTTTTATAATGACATTTATTGAATACATTAAGATACTCAGGTACATGTCATAAAATTGTACAGAGATTCTTTCAGAGTTTTAGAGTGCGTTACGGTGATGTCAATCTAAGTCCTTCCCTGGATGTCTCCATGGCAAGATCTAGGTTTAATCAGCACAACTTTAGAATGTCACTTGTAGGTCAGTATAATTCATTACCTTCACTGTATTTTCATTACTGTGCATTATTTTCTTACTGTTTTCAACTGAAAATAATTCATGTTAGGAAAGACAAGCCACCTGAATTCTTTTGTGTGCATCTTATAATATCAATTTTATAAAGTTAGTGTGTTAAAATTAAAATTCACAAACCTGATTACAGGTTACTGCCATTTATAACACAGCTAGCTTTTGGCTGGCTTTATTTAAACTTCTGTAAGGACTAAGGAGAGTAGAATCATTTTTGGGGAGATACAATTAATGATCCATGAAAACTAAAGGCTTGCAGTGGTTAAATATTTAGCAAGAAAAATAACAAGTATACCTCTGTGTTGTATTAGTGTAAGTAGATTAAAAGAATATTGTGCATTAAAAAACGAATTACTCGAAAGTGCCAAATCCTCCCACAACCTAACCTTCACAGATCTGTCATAATAGTCAGGGGCAAAAAATTGATCTTAACATCTTTGCAGGTAGAGGTCAATGTATGGTTTAAAGTGTTATTTAAAATGATATTAAAAAATTCCAAACTTGTCCCAAGAACCAGAGGTAAAGGGAAATATTTCCATTACAAAAAAAAACAAAAACAAACCTGGCTATAAATATACTTTATCATCATCCTTCCAAAATACTCAAACACTTCTCGTCCCGGTTGCCTTATAGCATACAAAATGTTTGCTTCCAAACTGCAGGTGCACTTTAATAAGGCAGAACAGTGGTCCAGTAGCTCTTAGCAACCAATCATGAATCTCTTCTGTTGGTCTAATTATATGAATTTGCCAAAAACAGATATGTGTTTGTTTTCGGTTACTGTACACCATTGCCTTTTTTTGTCATGTTACTAAATAAAGGCTGTTATGGGCAAAAAAGCATATGGTGATACAGGAAGATGAAAGCATGTGTGGGTTATATACAGGGTATCCTCACTGCTGTAGAAATTATAGGAATACACAAGACAAGGTTCCCGTGAACCAACACTAGGAATGTAGTCACATAGTGTTTAATTAAAAAAAAGACTGATGTCTATCAGCTTCAGCTTCCAACAACTGGACTTTGATCCAGAGTGAAAACACTTCCCCTGGGCAACTGCTTACAATTTTGCAACAGAGGAGGAAACAGATTCCTTTTTGACCCTCCAAGGGCAACCAGATCAATTCCCTATATTAAAATATTGCTGTATTATTTTGATCATTGCATTGCTAGGTCATTTTGGCTTTATTTACCAGCATAGTGTAAAGAACAACGATGTGCAGTATCCCATTGAGACCAATCATAAATCCATATTTAGCAGTCAGACTGATTTCTGCTGCATGTTCCTCTTTATATTTGTATAAAGACCAGTGTGTATTCTACTTACATTTTGGGAACAAGTAATTTATTATTATTTTGGAAATCATTGAGCTTCTTAAAAGATATGTTAACTATGCTATCTGTAACAATGTGCACAATAAATATAAAGTTTATACTATGAATTGCATAGGGCTTGTTAGTTTGGTGCCAAGTCTACGGTTCTTTTTCATACTGGTATACGCTAGGTTCATTCTTCATTGCCTAGTCGTGTTTATGGCATTTGATCTTTGCATGGAAGTCCAGTTGCCCAAATCTTAACTGAGGACATTCATGCTCCTCTTTAATATTTAGTTTCCCTATTTGGTTTTAAACCTTTCTTTCTATTAACCAAGTTGGTTGATATGTTATGTACTGTAGCTCTTACCTTAATTGTACTAATGCTTCCTCTAGAATTGCCTTATGCTTGCCATTTGGAATTCATTAAACCGAAAACACTTTCTTAGGAGTAATTAAAGCTTCCTATACATAATGTGTAGTTGCCAAGCAATTTTGGTGCCAAAAACAGGAATATACAGATAATCAATAAAAAACTTCCAGGTCTTAGAGTTGGACCAAACAGGTTGGGAATTTTCACACAACTGCCTTATTGCTCTGTGATGTCAGTTCAGCGATAAGGCTTTACCATGCTTCAGTGTCAACAGAGAGCTTATCCACAATGCCTTAAAAGTTAGATGTGTGATTAAAGGGACCTTCTAACATAGCGCAGAATGCTTGTGTGAGAAGCCTCCAGTGATCGTAGCTATTCTTTAATGACCTGCAAACTAGTACTGGGGCAGTGACATTGCTCATAATAATGCTAAACAGATTCACCTTCACTGCACATACAACACAGGAAACAAAGAATATAGCTACTTTTTCTGAGGTTTTTTTTTTTGTAGCAAAGTAACTTAAGACAGTCAAGCAAAAACTTATTTGGTCCAAAGTTTAGTATATTACCTTAGTAAATAAGCCAGTATGTCCTCATTGATGTTAAAGGGCCACGCTGTCCACCACATGTAGCCATAGATAGCCATACACTATACAGTAAATAAGCACTTGTTTTAGTTTAATGTACTGATGAATGTTTTTATTATGAAAATTTAAATTGTACCATCTGTATACATATTTATCTTCTTCACTGGTATAGAAATAAATTGAATATTTAATGGCTTACACTGTTAAAGCCCAACTGTCGCCCTAATGGGGACAGAAATTCTAAGCCCTCCTTATATATTCAAAGCTAAATAAAAAGTGTTGGATATGGCTGTGCTTTAAACATATCACTAGCCCGACCACAAAAATTCAGTCTCTACATGAAGCCCACATTTGTAAAATGGAAGTCACATCAAGTGGCTTAGTTAGATTTGGCTGCACACATTCAAGTTCAAAATAGGGATCTTCCTATCTGAAACTTAGATCAGGCACCCCCCTGTTAGATTTTTCTCTTTAAAAGACAAAGAAGAATTGTTGTAACCAATCAAGCATAATCTTTTGTTGCTCTGATAAGATAGAACAGATGAAGGACACAATTGCTATCTGCACCTATGAATCAAGCCCCATGTCTGTATAGGGCAGTGGTGGTCAACCTATTTGATATAGGGGGTCAAGTGCGGCCCCTGACATCATCAATGGGATGCACATAATATTCAATAAATATAATACTACAGTAAGTTGTCAAACACTTCAGACGTGCAATAGGAGGTATGTCAAAGACTGCAGATGTTCTACAGGAGATGGTTAGAGACCATGTATGACCGAATATGCTATAAGAGTTGTTGGAGGCCAGGGACATGCATTAGTAAACAGTGAAAGGCTGGAGACATGTTACAGGAGACTGATGAAGATCATTTAAAAAAGTTATTGCTCTCACATTTGTGCTTCCTACACCCCCCCTAAAAATGACTTAAGATCCACTATATAAACATAAAAAGAGAAAAAGGATGTACAGTTTGGAAAATAAATAAGGTAGGGTAAAAGAAATAAACCAAACAATTTAAATAGTGGAATCCAGTCTAAAGAGTATTGTTCCTTCCATGGTTTGAGTAAGCATCTAGGTAAATAAAACACAGACCACTGTCTGCAGAGGCACTTAGGGCCGCACAATAAGAGCCAAGGGGCTACATGTGGCCCCCGGGCCACAGGTTAGGCACCAGGTGTATAGGGTATAATGAAGTCACAGTCCCACTGAACTCATTGTCCATTTTGGAAAGTCATCTCATGCTGATGTCATTACCAAAATATCTCAAACATTGTTATACAATTAAGTAAAAATTGTGTCTTGTTTTTATGTTAGGATATCAGAATGCATAGAAAAATGTTCCTATCTTGATTAAATTTGCATGCATTACAGGCCTAGTGTAAGCACCTGGCCAGAAATTTGCAGTTTGCTATTCTCCATTATTATACTTACCTTTTTCCCATCCTAAGTGGTGTTGTGGAGCTATAGGACATTCGCACATGCTGGAAATAGCATTCTTGCATTTTTGGCTTTGTAGAGATGGAACACGAGGGAGACCCCAAGCGCACAATTACTGCCAGACCAGTTTTCTCTGTAAAGCCCCTCCTACTTCCAGTAGCTCCGTTTGTTACTGTGGTTGGCAGCTTCTGACTCATAGTGAGACGTTGAGAAAAGAGAAAGCAGGACCGAGTTATAACTTCACGAACTGTAATAATACAGAATAATACAGAGCCCCACATTTCAGGGCTCCTATTAGGTCTGTGTTATC